CCGCCAGCCGCATGGGGGGCATGAGGGTGTGTGGGGGTAGCAGTACCCCCATCATTATTGATTTGATTGGGGTAAGACCACCCGTGCCTGAGGCCCTCCCTTGGAATGGTGCTACCAGCGTTCAGTCCAAGTCCAAAAAATGCAGCAGTACGATTTTCTCCACTTGCTTGAAAAATTAAAACATATTTTCATTTTGAAACACTCAACAGCAAAACAGAAAACAAAAGTTGGGGGCGGGGGGGAAGAGTAATATTTCAAGGTTTCCTTTTCTTTGCAACTCCCCTTTAGCTCCAGAGGCTGGAATGAAAGGAAAAAAGGACACCCAACTTAGATGAGGAAAAATCCCCCCCCCCGCTTTTCTTTTCTTTAAAAAAAAAAATCTTGGGTCCTGGATGTACTACAATTGGGACCAAGATTACCATATTAGTAGTTCACTTCCTAAGAGTCCCATTGTAATACGAGAATATATTTTCTCTGAATTATAGTTCTAAAAACAAGTGGCTTCTCCCAGGAGCATGCAGCTTGACTTGTTTGCTAGAGTCACCTATTTCTCATACAGATCTGTCTTTATTATTATTATTATTATTATTGAACATGCTGAATACAAACAAGGTCAAGGGAGAACCTGAAAAAATAAAAGAATGTAATGCAGATAACCCAACCAGCAATTTAAGCATGTCATGGAAGCTATAGCTTTCTAAAATAGGATTAGTACTTATGGATAATTACATATATTATATCACATTAAAGAAGTAAGGTGAACATGGGATCTATCTTTTTTTGAGCTCTAAAGCAGCTTGTAAATGGATAGACCTTAGGGTATGGGAGTAGTCAGCCTTTAGGTCTTTGTAAATCAGTTAGATGTTTCTTCTTTTTATTTTAGACGATGATCTCTTAATTTTGCAATTCTGGGTGTTGCACCCCAAAACATTGGGGGTCGAGGATGAAACCCAGTTGAGGGGATGTTGCTCCAGATACCACAACATAGGTGTGGTTCAGATGGCTGTTAGCAGGACTTCTACAGAGAGGTAAATGGGAGGTTGAGTCCTAACATGGGTAAATCTTTATCCTTTGTTGGCACCCAACAGGCCTCTTGGTAGGTCAACTCACTTAAGTTTCCACTTGAAGCTTCCCAGCTCAGGGTTTAGAACAGCTCCATATTTCTTTTTTAGAAGAGGCTCAGGGGGAGGGGGGCTGTTTAAAGCTATCAAGGAGTATGGAGGTAACATCAGTGAAGGAATGCAAGAATGTTAAGAAAAAAATAAATGAAAACTCAGTCCCGGGAAAGGAGAAGACATGAGAAAGAAACTCAGAATAACCCCACTTTGATTCAGTTTGGCATAGGAGCAGGTAGAATGATATTCTGGCAGGCTTTTGAGATTCTGCTGTTATACCCTGTAACAGAAAAGTACAATTCCTGAAATCGTTGCTGTTTCCTGACCTTGCCTACCTTGAAGGGCTGACAAAACATCAGAGCTGCCACGTAAATATCACTGGGAGGAAGAAAATTCAACGGTTGCAATCTGATTGCATTCTGGACATATCGTGTTTACTCCTGCTAGATTCAGTGGGATCTACTTCCACAGAATCACTGATTGAGAAAGGGATCTTAGGAGCTGGGGAGGGGGACGCTTCTCTGTGCAATACTGGATCTGCTCTGACGATCTCTCTGGACAATGGTCCTCCAGCCTCTGCTGAAATATCTCTAACAGACAGACTCCCACCCCCAGATTGTTCCATCACTGAATAGCTTTAAGCCTTCTAGAGTTCTTGTGAATATTTGGACAAAATCTATTTCTTCACAAATAACAATGCCCAGACTTCTCTATTAGTCCTGGAAGGCTTCATACCAGAGTTTCTCAACCTTGGCAACTTTAAGATGAGTGGACTTCAGCTCCCAGAATTCCCCAGCCAG